AGACAAAGAAAAAGAAAAAAAAAAACAGATCTATTTCCTTTTCTAAAGAGGATTATAATCTATGCATTCAGTACAGGACTCTGCTTTTGTAACAGGAATGACTCTGATGACCTGTTTCTGGATTATTTTTGAATTAGAGCAATATGAAATGGAATGACAGCATTTTAAAATAAAAGGTATACTAGGAATAGGAACAAAAAAAACATGTCAAGGCAAAATAGTGGGTGGATTTTAGAAAGGAAGTTAAAATATATAGACAATCTTTTTAGGAATAGGACTAGGCAAAGCATTCTTAGGCTTGACACCAAAAGCATAATCCATAAGAGGAAAACTGGATAAATCAAACCTCAGCAAATTAAAAACTTGGCTCCGTGAAAGATCCTGTTAAGATGAAAAGACAAATTACAGGCAGAGAGAAAATTTTTATAAATCACATGTCCAACAAAGGACTAGCATATAGAATGTAAAAAAGCATTCTCAAAACTCAACATTAAAGAAAAATCCAATCTAAAAAGGACGAAAGACACATTTCAACAAAAAAAAATGTATAAATGGCAAATAATCTCATGAAATGATATTCAATATTAGTCATTAGAGAAATGCAAATTAAAATGACAATGAGATACCACCACACACTTAGAAATGGCTAAAATGAAAAATTATGATAGCACCAAATGCTGACAGGGATGCAGAAAGACTGACTAACTTATACATTGCTAGTGGCAATGCAAAATGATTCAGCTACTCTGAAAAACACTTTGGCAGTTCCTTGCAAAACTAAAAATGGACTTACTAATTAAACTGACAATTGCACTCTTGATATTTATCCCAGAGAAATACTTATTAGTATGCAAAAATTTGTACACAAATGTTCATAGCTGCTGTATTCATAATAGTCCAAAACAAAAAACGACTCAAATGTCCTTTAATGGGTGAATGATTAAACAAACTGTTGTACATCCATACCATGGAATATTATTCAGCAATAAAAAGGAACAAACTATTGATTCACACAATAACTTGGATGAACCTCAAAGACATTATATGAAATTTTAAAAAGCCAATCTCAAAAGGCTCTATGTACATACTGCATGATTCTATTTATGTAACATTTAAGAAATGACATATTTAAAGAGATGGAGAACAAATTAGTGGTTGCTGGGGTTAGAAAGGAGGGGAGGAGATAGATATGAATATAAATGGGGGTATTATGAGTCTTGTAATGATGGTTCATCTTAATTGTGGTGGTGGTTATATAAGGCTACACATGTGATATAGTTGAATTAATCGCACATACAAATGAGTGTATATATAACTGGTGAAATCTGAATATGTCTGTGCATTCTACCAATGCCGATTTCCCGAGTTTTAATAGTGCAGTTATAAAAGATGTTAACATTGCAAAAGGCTAGACCAAGGTTGCATGGAATCTCCCTGTACATTTCTTTGCAACGTCGTGTTAACCTATAATTATTTCTAAGTTAAAAGTTTAAAAATGGGGAAAGGGAAGCAGGAGAAGAGTAAAGCAATTAAGGCAAAAGAGATTTAGGAAAAGAAAATTATCACTAAAAGTTTTACCAAGAATGTTGGAATTCAGGCATGTTGATTGCCTTCCCACTGTAGAAAGCTCTGGGGGATGGGAATAATATTAATCTATAAAATTACATGTTTAAGCAGAAACTTTCCTCTTGAAAAATTTGCTTCCCTTTTCTACTCATCCAAGCTACTGTAATGAGGTTTCTTGAGGCTATCATTCATTAAGCCTTGCTGTTCATCAGCAGATTGTATAAAATCAATTTTATTTCTCCAAAATACACTCTTCCTCCAAGCTGTTTAAGTCAATCTAGAAATGTCTGCTTGACTCACTGAGGCAGGTCAACTGAATATTAGACTGTTTTCAATTACACAGCTATTAATTCCGTTAAACAAAGAAAAATGCAAGCAGCAAAGCATTCAAACTTCCTCTCCCTGCTCGCTCCCTGTCTTTTTTAAAAACCAGATTACCTGTGGACATGGAATCTGAAGGATATACCCATAAGACAAATTCCAGAAAATCCATTGTTTTGGAAGTCAAGAAGACTACCCTTTCACCATTATTTTCGTTTCTTTTATTTGCTTTTTTGAAAAATTTAGAGCTGTGGGCAACCACAAGTAAATACCCTACCTTCACCCCTCTAACAGAACTCCTACTCACATGATCTATAGACTAGTACATTTATCAAGGAAAACGTACAGTACATGAACATGTCAAGCATGTTCAAAACTGATCTACTGTCTTCGGGAATGTGATCAACTACACCAGCAAGTTCTGGATGGTAACAGTGAATGTTTCAGTGAA